ATTATACTTCTCAATTATTCAGCTATCATTTAGCATTAATTTCAGGCATAGTCCCTGCTGGACTTGATCAAAGTTCCATCTAATCCAGCATCTTGGTCATAATAATCAAACAGGTGCTTCCAGGAAGCCCATGAGGCAGGAACGAAATTAGCCTCTGTCAAATGGTAATCAACAGCAGCCAAATTTTTAATCAGATCAATTTTTTTTATTACTGTTCCTTCGGCTTCAGTCAGCATTCAAAATACAGTAACTGGACTCACAATTTCAACACAGTATGTAAAAATCAGGATAGCAGTGTCACACTATGATGGTAAAAATGTGAGTCCAGACTGTTGATTAAAATGTCTGTTATTTCTGAACAACCCTGGAATTAAAGCAAATTGTAGCCAGGAAGATCTGAAACACAGAGAGAAAATGTCCAGGTGTTCAAATATACCTATCTTCCCTCACCATTGGCCCTGCAGCTAAGGCTAATGAATTAAATTAATATATTTTAATAATACTGGTAGTCCTCAACTTACAATAGTTCATTTAATGACTGTTCTAAGTTACAATGACACTGAAAAAAGTGACTTATGACCATTTTTCACACTTACAACCATTGCAGCATCCCCATGGTCATGTGATCAAAATTCAGATGCTTGGCAACTAACTCATATTTATGACGATTGTAATATCCTGAGGTCATGTGATCACCTTTTGCCACCTTCTGATAAACAAAATCAATGAGGAAGCCATATTCACTTAACAACCATGTTATTAATTCAACAACTGCAGTGATTCATTTAACAAGGGTGGCAAGAAAGATCATAAAATGGGGCAAAATTCACTTAACAAATGTCTTGCTTGGAAATTTGAGGCTCAATTTTGGTTGTAAGACAAGGCCTACCTGTATCTTCCCATCCTTGGGTAAGTAATACGAAATTTTTTGTTCAATATGGTTGCTTGCTGATTCTGGCTAAATTTCAGCATAATGTAATATTTCAAGAGGGAAGAAACTGTAATCTTCCACTTGATATTAAACATCAACTTCCATCAGCTTCTCATAACCTGGTCAGAAATGAGGGATCTTGGAAACTGTAATTCAGTCAACTCCAAATTCAGGGGCCCAGTTTGCTCTCTCCAGATAAACAGATGGTTTCTGCTTTTAACTGGAATGAGTAAATTCTCAGCAGGCTGAATTTTGCTCCCAGACAACATTTGGTAATAGAATTATATACAAATGTATCCTTGACATCCAATTTCAATGCAATTAAGTAATGCTTGGCTTCTCTTTTTATTTCTTCCAAAGGGCAAGAATTTACCCATCACTTCTGCTGACCAGCTTGGTAAAGGTAAAAAGGATTTGTGTCTTTATTTCTGAATATCTATCGTGGATTCTTTACCAGATGATGCTTAATGATGTCAACAACAGTTGCACAAATAAAATAACACGTAATGACATTTAAATAAAAGAGAGAAATAAGAACAATTTTACTTATTAATATATCTATACACTTCTACATTGCTCATCTTACTTAAATGACTCTGGGTGGTTTACAATAAAACATAAAAAGTGGAATAAAAATAAATATATATATAAAGATAAATCAGAGTTAAGAACAAAGTTAAGAGCAATGCATTTGAGTTGTGGCTATTTGCTCCAATATGAAAATAATTCCAGACTTTGGCTTCATATGAAATAAACTTCTGAAAGATGGAAAAGTATAATAAAGAGTTTACTAGAGAAACTGAATATACAACCAACAGACAACAAGTGAAAAACACCATTAGCAACATGTACTATGGGTTAAGGAGAGAAAGAGTGTAGACATTAGCTTCTCCTAGGGAAAAATATCTGTACATTTTGCAAACTTTTGTTTGCAAAATGCTGGTGAGCGTAAAATCAAAATTGCCTCCTTCCCCTATTCAATACTTTGGCTTGCAAAATGATTCTGATTCTGTTCCTAAATCCAAAAGAAGAAATACCCAGCTCTGTTCTCACAGAACTATATATTGTTCCAGAGACATGTGACCTTGAATTGAAAAGGAGAAGCTTGCAAGTGTTTTTATTTGAAAAGGTCAGGCAAGTGAGATTTACAAGTATCTGTCTCATGAGTGCCTATATTTAGAAAAATATTTTGTTCCCCATCCATTAATTAACCAGCAAGCTCAAATTATAAAATCATTTTTTCTCTTTTACTGGGGAGCAGGCATTGGAGGGAAGTCAAGTCTTTATTGAACAATAACAACTAAATGATGATGTGGCTGTCACCATCTCATCTCATGTTGGGCGAGAATGTAACTCACTCATTCAAGAGGAGAATGGATTAGAAGACTGCAATTATTGATTGAAGAGACGATAAAAAATCATATTTCATAACTTTGGGTTTCTTTCTTTCTTTCTTTTTTCCTTTCTTCTTTAGATTTGTCTCTTACTTTATGTAGAATTCTTAATAAATATAAGACAAAAAATATGACAATAGAAAGCAGAACATAAATGAGATGATCTTAATAATCCCCAACATAGAGACCATCTGGTTGAGGAGGGCAAAAGCACGGGGAGGAGCCATTTTAGCAAGCATTAGACTGATTCTGTTGTACTTTTTATAGCCTGGTGTGCTATATCTCAAGGCTAATGATCATTTGCCTAGAATCCTTCAGGCCTTTTTTTGTAGCTGCCCCATATGATTGAAATCTCTCTTACATCTTAATTGTTTCTCAATGTTATATTTCCTAATCCCCTTTCCTTTGATAATTTACAGTGTGATACAAAATCTACAGCAAAGATACACATATGTGCCAAAGGTGCTTTAAAAGATAACAGGACTTTCTTGATTTTTTTCCCATTGAAAATATTTCACTTCTCATTCGAGAAGCTTCTTCAGTTCTGATGTTCTTGGATGAGAAGTGAAACATTTTCATGAGAAAAAAAAACCAAGAAAGTCCAGTTGCCTTTTGAGAGAGAGAGAAAAAAAGCACCTTTGGGATGACTGTGTCCTGGATGACTGAGAATTTCCATAGACATACACATACATGCTCTGTGCTCTCTGGTGTCATACTGGAATAGACAAAAAAAACGGGGGGAGGAGAGAATCGGAGAGAATGCAGATAGCTCTGCAGTCCAAGAGTATGGGATTATGGTGTTTATTCAGTTCCCTTTTTTTTACAGAATGTGACTTCTTCTTTGCAAGATTGCTGACTTGTAGTATCTTACTAGTTTCTGGTCCCAGCAAAAAGGAATTGCTACTGTATTTCCTTGAAACTGGCTATAGAAGGACTGGTTTTAGGAATGTTATAGCCAAGTGAAAACTATTATTAAAAGACTATCAAGCCTTGGTCATTCAGGCCCCATTCTGGCTCTGTCTAATAAGGAATAGATCTGAAAACTCTCCTGATTTAACTGAAGTTTTGAGCCAGAAGCCCAGTTCTATTTATATTACACTCTAGACCCAACCAATATTTCTGTTTTTCTCACACTATAGGCAACCAATGTGTAATTGCACAATATGATTTTGTCTCTATGAGTGATCGTGATCTGCCTTTGACCATAGGAGAGAAGTTTGAAGTCTACTGCAGGTAGGTGAACTTACTGGCTTTTGACTGATTCCATCATGCCCCAATATTCCTTTTGCCATCAGTGCAGAAAAATACTTCTCAAATACAGAACTGAAAGAAAACTCCTGAATTATGCTTGTTTTGCTCATCTGCATTTGACCTGGGACATACTCCGGTTTCTCTTCAGATTGCATAAATCTTTTGCCTTTAACTAAAGCCTTCCTTGGAGAGGAACATTTATGAGTCTTTTACTAATTTTTTGAGGCAAGAGCCATGGTGGCACAGTGAATAGAATGCAGTATTGCAGGCTAACTCTGCTGACTGCCGGCAGTTCGATTCTCACCAGCTCAAGGTTGACTCAGGCTTCCATCCTTCCATCCTTCGGTAAAATGAGGACCCAGATTGTTGGGGGCAATATGCTGACTCTGTAAACTGTTTAGAGACAGCTGTAAAGCACTATAAAGCAGTATAAAAGTCTAAGTGCTATTGCTATTGCTATTGCCACTAGGGAAATGTTCGAAAAGGGATTTCAGGTATCTGTTCATTCCTCCCAGTGCTAGTCAGCCACAATGCCATAATAGTCACTCGCAGGCCTCTGTCCTATAATAAGGCGTCATAAGGCCTCTTTCCTATATGTAATGGATTAAACAAAGTTTAATTCTTTATTCAATCTACTTTGTTTATTTGTTCATTTATTCATTTTTTTTACGTTTGTATTTTGTTCACAGTGATGGGGAATGGTGGTTAGCAAAATCCCTTACTACTGGAAAGCAGGGCTACATTCCTAGCAATTTTGTGGTCTACATCAACAGCCTGGAAGAAGAAGAGTAAGTATGAGAAAACCAGGAAGCTGAGAGATGGAGAGTTCTTGATATTTTTGTGATATTGTGATGTTGCAAGGAAGAAATTAAAGTTTCACCCACAATCTCTGTATTATTAATTGCTGATTCAGGAATGTGGCTGACCTTATAAGTGACAGGGACCAATTAACAAAAGCAATCATATGCATATTTACTGTATGCATCTTCACTTAGCTTAATAGAGCTTATCTCAGAAAAATGTGTGTGGGGTATACTACTGCAGATATAAAGGACAAACACAGGGAAGCAAAAGTGAAATAAAAATGAAAGCAAAGAGGAAGCTGTTAATTAAAGAAATGGAGAATTTTCAGAGAAATTTAATATATTCTTCTGAACAAACTAGTACAATTGCCTATTAAGTTTGAAAAATTTCCAATACAAAACATATAAAAAAATAAATTGTTACGGTTACATAGCATTAAATAACATTTTAAACATTTTCACTATAAAACCTAGTGAAAAGCTAAGGAAAAACAATTATAATTTGCAATTTTCTGGATTTCCAGGCTTATTTTAAAAATTATTGATCAAGCTCAATGTTTTTCAAAGTTGACACTTTTGAGATGTGTGAATGTCAACTTCCAAAATTCCCCAGCCAAGCTTGAAGTTGCCAAGTCTGAACAAAAAAACCTGCTCTAGTTGGAATCATTCTATAAAAATTTGCATTCTTTTTCAGATGGTTTTTTAAAGGCCTTAACAGAAAAGATGCTGAACGTTTATTAATGATGCCTGGCAACAGTGTAGGCTCGTTTTTGATAAGGGAAAGTGAAAGTGTTCCAGGTAAGGAGTTGTAAAATTGTTTTGTATATAAAGGTAACATTTACATGAATTGCCCAGATTAGGGATTATATCATGGTAATAAAAACCACAAAAAGATGTTATTTTTTTTCATTTGGATCTTGCCCACAGATAGCAGTCTAGAGATTATTTAAAGGTGACTGGGGAAAGGCAGGTGGCAAGATCATTTTCAGAGCTTTTATGAGAATTATTCTAGCTATCTGAGAGTAAATCACTCGGATTCACCTAGAGTTAGAGACTGGAACTGGTCAAGTGATGTTGAGGTAAGTGAACTAAGGCCTTGTGTGAGTTTGAACCTGTCATTCTTAAAGATTTGGACACAAAACCCCAAGCAACTGTTTATTCAATTTTGCTTCTACTGACTGGTGAAAGCCATCCAGGAGGTTATATTTGATTGGGTATATACAGTAATATGACAAGAGTCAGTGGTCCCACTTTTTTTGAAGGTGATAGTACATCCCTCCTCAAGATGTTGTCATTGGACCCAAGAGTTTGAAATAATTTTCATCCAATCTCTAATCTTTTCTTTCTATGGAAGGTTGTTGAGAAGATGGTGTGGCTGTGGGTCCAGATAGCTCTGGAGGAAAATTATCTAAATCCTTTTTAGTTTGGTTTTAGACAGGAAAACAATACCAAAACTGTGTTGATCATCCTTGTTGGTAACTTCTGGGGAACCAGCTCAAGAATGATGCAACTGTCTTAGCTTTCTCTGATTGCTTAGTAATTGTGATGCCTTCCATTATAGTATCATTCAGGACCACCTATGAGAGTTAGGAACAATGGGCATTCTTGCTATGGTAGTTCTCCTCCCTTCTTCCAGGCAGTATTGACAAGATGGTAGGAGGAGAGAGAGAGAGATCTGGCCCAAAACTCTTGATGTGGGTATTGTAGAAATTATAAAATGAGCTGTGAGAATAATCTTGAAGAAGAAGAAGAAGAGTCACAGCCCTGGCAACAGTCAGATAAAAGAAATCTCAGCCCAAAGCAGGAAATGGAATTTGAGAAGCATCTGAGACTTGATTGTACCTAGTTTTCTTTAGGATAAGTGCAGGGAGGGGAAATGCACATTCAAAATTGGCCTCTTTTTCAAGTTATAATTTTTATTAAGTGGCATAAGCTTTTGTGAGCTGTTTACTTCAAATCTGGCTGCTTTTGGCCTACCATAGTTAATCTCTTCCCACAACTTCAAGGGGAAAAAAAACCTCACTTGGGTTTGGCTAGTCTAGAGAAAAGAAGGACTGGGGGAGATGTGATAGCAGCATTCCAGTATTTGAGAGATTGCCACAAAGAGGAGGGAGTCAACTTATTTTCCAAAGCACCAGAGGGCCAGGCAAAAAAAAAATGGATGAAAACTAATCAAGGAGAGAAGCAATCTGGAATTAAGGAGAAACTTCCTAACCGTAAGGACCATTAATCAGTGGAACAGCTTGCCTTCAGAAGTTGTGGGTGCTTCATTACTGGAGATTTTTAAGAAGAGACTGGACAGTCACTTGTCTGAAATGGTATAAGGTTTTCTGCTTGAGCAGGGGGTTGGACTAGAACACCTCCAAGATCCCTTTCAGCTCTATTCTGACTGATTGATATATTGATTGATTGACCATAGAATATTTTGCTTTGTAAAGAGAGCCGAAATGGAAATGGTCAGGAATAGAGGGAATCTGTGCCTCTTTCCATCCCAGATCAGCAGTGATTAATTGAATATTCACATTAAATGACACAAATGATATATATGCATATTTGGATGGGTTAGGGCAGTGATGGCGAACCTTTTAGAGACCGAGTGCCCAAACTGCAACCCAAAACCCACTTATTTATCGCAAAGTGCCAGGGCTGCATCAGCATTGGCTGATGGAGGGGCGGGGGCATGGCCTACTGGGTGGGCATGGTTGCAGTGGTCACAGCAGACTGGGTGAGTGTGGCTGGGGCCAGGGCGGCAGGGGCCAGTCCCTCGCCATCTCCGGGGCATCCCTGGGGGGGCAATGCTGCTTGCTCACTCACTTCCTGCCCTGTCGTTTCCAAATGCCACGTGCTTGCTACTCTGGCGAACTCTGCTGGGGCAACGGCGCACGTGCCCACAGAGAGGGCTCTGAGTGCCGCCTCTGGCACGCGTGCCATAGGTTCGCCATCACTGGGTTAGGGTTATCTGGTCTTCTTTTCATTGTTCAGTGCTTTTCCCTAGTCACATGAAATCAGACCCTGTATTCTGATGTTGCTAAAAATTCAAAAGTACTTTTCTCCAGTCTGGCACCTTTCAGACAAGGTGACACTTCACTTCCCAGAATGCTGCAGCTACTGGGAATTCTGAGATTTGCTGCCCTGGAAGTATAAGTTGGAATAGCCCGCTCTATGATAGACTGTTCCTTCTGATGGCACAATTTAAGCACTAATAAATAATCCCCTTTTTTTCTTGTTCCAGGTGCATTTTCACTTTCTGTTAGAGATATCATCTCTCAAGAGGATATTGTTAAGCATTACAAAATCTCCACTATGGACCAAGGTGGATACTACATCTGCCCCTGGATTACATTTCCTTCTATGCAAAAGCTTGTCAAGCATTATTCCAGTAAGAATACTTCTGAAAGCTGTCAGGTTCATACTTAATAAGACATAAAGCGGAGACTGTTTCATAGAAGCAGAACAATTTAGTTTAAGTTCTGTGGGTTCTTTGTAACATATGAAGAAAGCAGAACAGTTTGCAACACAAGCCAGTTCAGATTGTCCAAAATCAATGAGGATCCAAGAGTTGAGGTGGGCAATGTAAGCATATGAAAAAAGTATGGATGCTATTATTTTTTAAATTGATTTTTATTAGATATTTAAAAGTACAATCAAGAAAAATAAAACAGAAAAAAATAAATAGCACATAAAATAAAATAAAATTCAATTTAAAAAAAGCTGACTGTAGTTTAGATCTACCTAATTAAGTCATCAATATAATATGAACTATAACTAAGAAGAGGAAATTGCACTGATTTCTGACTAATCTAAGGAACCTATCCTTGTTTAGCAAATCAAACCAAGACTTAAATGTTAACTTCTTATTTTAAGAGAAACCCACACTTTATATGCAGTAAAAGCCCATGTGTAGAATTATAGTCCAAGAATAATTTTCATCTTGTATTGAATTCTGCATTAGATTTGTTTTTTTCAGATACCAGATTATTTTTTGTCCTGTCCTCCCAAAACTTACTTGACTATTCCCCTTCCACTTCTCTCAGAGGCAGAGGAAATGGAAACCCATCAATGCTGTCCAAAACATATTGTTTGTTAGTTTGCAAAGGCTGCAATGAGGACAAGACTGAGAAACTGTCCGTTTGCATTAGTATTGTTCACATACAAATCCTACCTGCATGAGTAAGATCACCACAGAGCAGATGATTTGAATAATTCCTGTTCCCTGAAGCAAGTGATCTATGATGATGATGATGATGATGATGATGATTCCATGCATTTCACGCATTTACCCCATTGCATAAAGTTTTGGTATCAGGGTTCTACTGTTAACATTATGAAAGGATCAAAAGCTTTAGTGGGCAAGGTGATGCAGCAAAATGTGAAAATCTCTGCTTATCTTGATTCTTTCCCTACCTTCAGGAAAGAGATCTGGAAGTTCTCTTCTTCCTTAATTTGGGGAGAGACGTGGCTTTTCCAACCTCAAAACAACAGGAAACTGTCCAAGTGATTTTTGTTACCTCATTCTCTGAAAATTTGTCTTTGGTTTGTCCTACTTCCTCTTTGTACCATCCTGCACAGCTAATGAGAACGGTTTGTGCCAGAGGCTAAGATATCCATGCAAGACTCTGACTCCACAAATACCGTGGGCTGCTGATGAATGGGAAATCCCACGAGACGCCATAAAACTCATCAAGAAACTAGGAGCAGGCCAGTTTGGTGAGGTGTGGATGGGTAAGTTAAGACTGATACTATAACACCCATGGTTTTATGAAATCCCTTATTTACTCATTGGTATTTTATTCCTATCCTTTTACTTCTACTCTAATTAAAAGAGAAAGAAAAAAGTTTGGTACTGTCCATTCCATATATGAGCTCCTGCTTTTCAGTTGAAGGCTATGACATGCAAAGAGGAAGTAATGTCCTGCGTGAAGATATTAGACTTCCATTTGGTTTCAACTTTATAAAGTGCTTACAAAAATGGCAAAACCATGATATTTAAATGCAATCCATTTAAGAACATTAAAATAATGGTATCAGATCAATCAAGACCCCTTCTGATCTACTTTCTACATTACACAAGCCACACCTACACACTCAGGAAGCTTACAGAGAAGATAGATAATTCTCTTCTAATGTTACTCCCTGACAATCTTATTTAAGGCCTGTTTTGGATGTGTACTTTCTTTTAAATCTGAGTATTTTTAGAACTTCTACCCACTGTAAGTAACAAAGATAGCCATGCAGGAGGGAAGGGAGTTAAAAACAAACTGGCAGAAGCATCTGTATAATTGAAACCAAACCCCTTTTCTGTATGTGTTCTTTAAAAAAGGGCAGGGCTTTGATTGTATAATAACAGACACCATTTTTACAATTTTTACTACCACCACATTGGTGGACACCTCTGGCAATTACCTATGGAACAAATAAGCCTTGGGAAGCCCTGCCCCCCATGATGTTCTGTCCTCTTCCCCAACCCATATGTAGGATAGCCTCAAATCATTTTAGTTGTTCTAGTGTTGAAGTGTTTTAGACATTTTCTTCCAACAGTATTCAAGGACCACCAAGATACATATTATATGTTAGGATTTGTCATCCAAATCCTTCCTTGAAGAAAGCCAGGTAATTAAGGTTACTTGAATGAGAGGCAATGGAGTAGAACAGGGACTGACACGGGGGATGGTTAATTTTGCAGTGGTGTAGTGGTCAGGAGCTGAAGGAGGGATGGAGAATTCTTCAGCTCCTCAGTGGGAAAAAGTGCTTAGCATTGGCTGTGTCCTGGAAAATAGGGAGGAATCATCATCAATTGTAGTAGAAATGAAGGCAGAATTGATGAGATGGAGAGTTAAAATATTGGAATGGCATCAGGGAATCCAAGTTCAAATCCATTCTAAGCTGTGGAAGCTAAATGGGCAACTTTGGGCCAACCTATCTCATATGGTTGCAGTTATGAGAACAAGTAGAGTAGGAGGATAAAGTATATCACATGTTATCAGTGGGACTTTCTCTTCCTGATGATACCTACCCATTCTACCAAATGGGAAAATAGGCATGCTCCAGGTCCCTTCCTTTAAATGTTGCCATCAAGTGGGAACTAGGAAGTATGCTTTTTCCATGGCAGCCCCTGCCCTAATAAAACCTTCCCCTTGAAATCCAGCAGGCCTCATCCTCTTAACCTTCCAGAAGCCCCCAAAGTATTCGATCTTCCCCCAACACTGAGATAAGTTGAGACTGAAGCTTGAAGACAGTGGTGTAGTTGTATCAAATAAGATTAGTTCTATTTTTGCTTGAATTGCTTTGTTTATTGCATTGTTTTTATGTTGCTTCATTTCATACAATGGTTCTGAGCCAGCCTTGTGTTTCTTAAAGAAACCATCCTGAATTTCTTAAATATAAATCTAACAAGCAAATAAAGTAAGGGTCTAGTTTCAATCTGTGGTATTTTTAGTTAAAGAAAAAAGAATCAGATAGCAATTGGTGGGAAAAATTCTGATCAGCCACAGCCAGTCATAATAGATATAGCTATGCTAAAGTAATAAGTAGTCTTTTCTAATAAATGATCACACCCTCAGTTCCAAAATCTTGCCATACATTCAAAAGAAAAATTTTCAATGAGGAAAATATGCCCAACAATTCCTCCTGTTTGGGGGAATTTATGATTCCCTGTCCACTTTCAAATCTTCTCATGGTTTAAAAAGCCCTTCCCTTTCCCCAGTTTTTATATTGTTTCCTATGAAAACTTTATGGAAACTTTGACACTCTTATTCAGTGGTTTGCTCCCAAAAGGTGGTGGGGCAGATTTGGAGTGTTCTGGGAGCTGCTGATTTTAGGTTTGAAAGCCACCATTTGCCCACAAACCTGTTTTATGTAATAGTCATTAATCCCCCTTTCCCCTTTGCAGGTTACTACAAGAACAATGTGAAGGTTGCAGTCAAGACGTTAAAAGAAGGCAGCATGGCCCCCGATGCCTTTTTGGCTGAGGCCAACTTGATGAAAAGACTTCAGCATAACAAGTTGGTTCGATTGTATGCTGTGGTGACCCAGCAGCCAATTTATATTGTAACAGAATACTTGGCCAACGGTAAGTATGTCTTGTTAATCATTCTAATGGATCTCTATCAGTGCTATAGATCTGAACTAAGCAGGCCAAACCTGATTGTAGGGTGTTTTTTTGTGTTTGTGGTTTGCTTAATGAGCCTCAAATATTTGGAGTAGTCTATTTTCCCTGTTCACAGGGAAAGGTTCACAGTACAAGCAACTATCAAAGTAAATTGCCCAAAGACAACACAAAGCCTGTAATTTTTCCATCCTTACCTTTATTAGCATTTTGAGTGCAGGAACTCTGTTGTTAACAGAGACCTATTTTGGGGAAAGCATCTAGTCTTTCTCCTTCAACTTTTTCCCCTCTTTTTTTCCCTTCTCTAGTCATTTCCCAAAAAAGGGACTGAGTAATGTTGACAATATCATTACCTAATCCAAGGCTCTGCCATAGGCAGGCTACACTGGTAGTAAATCTATTCACATATATAAACAAAATTTTATTGAAGAATCAGCAAATTGAAAAGTATTCTAAGAGGTCAATTCCCAATCTAGTAATATAGTAATGCAACCATTACAAAATCATTTAAAATCTGATTTTTTTAAAAAAATCACTAATTAAGTGGTATAATTCTCGCCCCTTGGCAAGAATCAAAGCCTAAAGCTGAACCCAAATGCCAACTGAAAACTGACTTAACTAATAAAGTATTCTCACATCCACCTTTATGAATATTTATTTCAACCAAAAATGTCCTTATATTTTTATTGCTGTTTTTATTTTTGGACAGGAAGCTTGCTTGATTTCTTGGCCACCAATCAAGGGAAGAATCTGTCTCTTTCAAAACTGATAGATTTCTCTGCTCAGGTAAATTATTTAATGCCCTAATGGTACAAAGTCTCATTATCTTCTCAACCTAGAAATTATATAGTATCAGAATCCCCAATCATTGTCTATCTAGCTTTTTTCAAAAGAGAGAAGAGGGAGGGGGGAAAGGTAGCACAGATAAGCATAAAGGCTGGAGACAGAGAGGGAGGAAGGGAAGGGGAAGGGACAGAAGTGGAAAGTGCTTTAGGAACTTAAGGGAAGGAAGCATGTGAGCACAGGTCTGAAATGATAATAGATACTAGATCGATCCCCTGTACTGTCAACATGATGGGCAACAAAGCATGTCAGATTTGAAATAAATTGAAACCACCACAAGTTGCTCTTGGCTTAAGGAGAAAATACTGATACAATTAGGAAGAACTTAAGGGTGTCTCATGGAAGAGCTGAAGACAAGTTGATTGCAACATCTTGAGGACATGAAAAAGCAAAGATAGTGCCACGAGATGTTTCTGGTATGATTAGATGCAAATGGGGAGCAACCCAAAATAGAAGTGATTGACATATAAATTAGGTGGTAGAGAAAAAGAAATGGAAAGAGTTGCCAAGAGAGTCAAAATGAGAGAATGTGAAGAAGCAGTGGAGGAAGACAAAGAAAAAAAATGTATTGAAGGGGTATCTGGGAGAGACAAAAGAAAAAGAAAAGAAACAACAGAAATAATAAAAAGAGACACAGAGAGGTTTGTTTCCTGATCACCACTGAGATGTAAATTCCAGCAGATAATCTCTGAGGGAACGTGACTGTGAGCCCCCCAAAAGAGGTTTCCTGGTTATTGTATCATATTTGAAGATTAAAGCTCAATTTTATGTATTAAATTTACATGCCACCCATCTCCTCAATAAGGTGAGTCTCTTTACCCTATCATGACACTCACCAAATGGTCATGGAGAGATCAGTTTCAAAGCCTGACATATCTGACAATGTTGTGGTAAAGACTGAATGCAGAAGAAGAATACTTTTTTGAGTTATTTCCATGAAATATAAAACACATATTGATGGAAATGCCAATTTATCTCAAATTGTTTCACAAAGTACCTGCATCATGAACACAGCCAATACCAGCAGTAGATGACCACCAAATGTAGAGTCTAATAGCAAATGTCATCGCAATAGTGTTGTTTGTGTAAATAGGCCCCAGGCACACCAAGCGATGACCCCTTATTTCTACACAAAAGTTAAAATTAGAAGGCTATCAGTGTGCATTTGGTACTGTGGTCAGCCTCACTAGTACACTGAGAGGAAATCAAGACTTCAATCTTTATCACATTGACATCAGGACAGGAAATAACACTCCACTGAGGTGAGCAGCATTTGAACAAAAAGCAAATCAGCTTAGGCATATGACATAGTTGTGGAAAATACGTTTTCATATCCTTTTTGAAACCGTGTGAAAAAAAACCCTAACAAATCTGTATGGAATAAAAAAAATGTAGTGTCCTTTTAGTTAGAAGAAAATAAAAAGTTGTGGGGGTGAGCTGGCAGAAGATCTAGGATTGCATCTTAATTGCTAATACAGTAGGAAAGTCACTCAAATTCTGTCATTTTCAATAAGATACTTGGCTTAGCAAGAGCAAAAAATGACTAGGATTTTCATTTCCAGAAGCCGCAAGCAAAAGCCAAAAGGCTTTTCTGTTTTGGAATTCACTATAGTATTACTCAATTTTCCATTTTTTAAAGTGTTTTTTCCAAATGGATCTGTTAAGGACAATGGCACTCAAAAATTCACATTAGTGAATGTAATGAAAAAGAGGAGAAGGACTTACAAAACTGTAAATGTGCAAGCTGATGCAGAAATATGATGGAACCAACTTGCAATTTTAAAAAACTGAGAGAAATAGAAATATGTGGCTCTCTTTATCGCTCACCAAACCCAGAAACTCTCCTCTCCCATTGAGCAAGATAACCTTTGGATTATTTCATCACCAGACATGTTCACTGTTGACTATTTCTCCTAGATTGCTGAAGGGATGGCATACATTGAGAGAATGAACTTCATCCACAGAGACCTCAGAGCAGCCAACATTCTGGTCTCAGAGTCCCTTTGTTGCAGAGTTGCTGATTTTGGCCTGGCTAGACTCATAGAGAATGAATACCTTGCACAGGCAGGTTAGTGAATCTTTGTGGTAAAAGAGATAGAATTGTGGGTCATATTCTACTGAACAAGAAAAGTCTGGAGGTAAAAGATTTGCTTTTTTGTGCACAAGGATTATTACCTGTCTACAAAACAATGCTGTCTGGTTCCAATCATAGAGTTAGCTGGTACAAAATGGAGCTGCCAATGTACTTACTGAACAATCATGGTGGTCTCACATAATGTTGTTACTTTAGGAGCTGCACTGGCTATTAATTTATTTCTGAATATAAGTCAAAATGCTGGCTGTTACCTATAAATTAATATATAGCTTAGAAAGTAGATATCCCATATAAAGTTTGCCTCTTCCCCCTCCTAAGAGAATTTCCCATTTTTGTCCTATTAATAGGTATGCAGGTGTATTACTTTTAGTAACTTTGTTAATGGCAGAAAGATTGTAGAAGAGGGAAATTATCAAATTGTTATGACAAGAGATTACTGGAAGCTCTGTGAATGCTTCGAAATAGTCTGAGTGTTTGTTATAGTCAAAAATATCGAAACAGCATGGATATCGAGGCAGATTCTATTTATCCATCCCTCCACCTTTATAGCCTAACCTAGTCTAGCCTGGTCTTTCATTATTATATTCTGCTTAGATGTCTAGTACATGAGAATATTCAAATATCCTGTATGAAATAACACATAAATCAGATGTTGCTTAACCCAACTGTTCTCCTATGCATAGGATTTTAAATAGTTGAGCTTTGAAAAGAGAACATATCTTCCTTTATCTGACACAGTGTACTCACCTCCCTTCCTGCAGGCCTAAAATATTATTTGAGAAGTAATGTTGGGTAGAATTGAGATATGCAAAATCTAGTGCACGTAAGCTCAAAACACAACCTTGACTCCTGAATTTTATCTGATATAGTGATTTACCATTGTGTCCTTCTGAAAGAGAGTGATTGGCTTTGTGTCTAAGGCAGGACTAGAACTCATGCTCTCCTGGTTTCTAGCATGATGCCTTAACCAATACACTGAACTGGCTCTAATATATTGGCTGCACTAAGTTGGCCAAATAAATAAATAAATAAATTAACCACTTAGGATCACTTTCAGGGCTGAACTTCTTCACATCCCCAAATAGTAATCAGTATCAGTGAGCTGGTCAAAAGTTCCTGGTCTGGCATATTTATGTTCTTGTTCATACTCCTACACTTTGGAATATCTTATCTAGTTTAAGAAAGAAATTCAAAATAGATATTCAGAACCAAATTATGCTGGGAGGTTTTCATGTTAAATGACTTCTTTAATGGCAGGTGCCAAATTTCCTATCAAATGGACAGCACCAGAAGCAATTAACTACGGACTTTTCACAATCAAATCTGATGTCTGGTCCTTTGGAATTCTTCTCACTGAAATTATTACCTATGGGCAGACTCCCTATCCAGGTAAGGCAGGCTGCAATCAAAAATCCTTCACTGCTTTGAGCCAATGCTTCTCTCTGATTCCTCCGCTATGGCTAAAAGCTCAGAAGGGATATTGTTAGGCTAATTGTTCAGCCCAGTACTAGACAGCTTTTCATCATTGTATATTTATGTATTTTATTTATTTATTTGTATCCCGCCTTTATTATTTTTATAGATAACTCAGGGCAAACCTATCTGTCCAGAGTTGTTTTGATATGAGATGGAGGCAAATAAATGTAAATAAATAAATAACCAATATACCTTCCTCCTCCTATTTTCCCCACAACAACAATCCTGTAAGGTGAATTGGACTGAGAGAGAGTAACTAAACCAAGATCTCCAGCTGGCTTTCATGGCTAAGATGAGACTAGAATTCATAGTCTTCAGCTTCCTAGCTTGATGCCTTAGCCACTGGCTTCAAATATATTTCAATTGCCTTCAGATGCACTTCAAATGGCTCATTTACTAATTCAGATTCAAATGTGTTTGAATTTAATTTCATCAGGTTCTTAGTCTTTATTTTTAAGGGGTTCATCGGCTTTTTTTTCATGAAACAGGTGGGATATGCATGCATTTGCAAAGTTGAATGGTAAACAAGAATAGGAGAACTTAATAAATAACTGTAATAATAACCACAAACATACTTAAATGTTAATGCTTCCTGCTTAGAAAATCTTACTTTTAAATAGTTTTGGAAAATACATTAAACAAGATATAAAGCTACCAGGAACTCGAAATAGTTGAGTTGTTTCAGAATTCCAAATGCATGCATGAATAATATATAATTTTGGGCCCATCGTAAATCAAGAACTATCTGTGCATTATATGGTTTGTGTATAGTTTGATCTTTTCTTTTCTTCCTGATAGCTATGATGAATCATGATGTTATCAGACATCTAGAACAGGGCTACCGGATACCTTGTCCAGAATTATGTCCGTCTAATCTCTATGCAATTATGTTAAAATGTTGGAAGGACAACCCAGAAGAACGACCAACATTTGAATACCTCCAGTCTACCCTTGAAGACTTTTATATAACCACAGAAAAACACTATGAATCGGAACCCCAAAAGACCTGATCTGTGATCATCAAAGCTAAAGTTGCTTTTATCATAGCATGGAATAGTTGGGGAGAATTTTCTCTTAGCTGCACTTTGCAAAGTTGTTCCCAGTCATAGAAGTAAAGGCATATCCATCTCTGAAGCTCTATTTACTGCATGTCCTTGCCTGGCTTTGGTTTCACCACCCAGTGATGAACTACAAAATAGCTATGGAAAGGAAAAATACAGGTAGTTCTCAGCTTATGACCACAACTGAGCCCAACATTTATGTTGCTGAGTAAGACAGTTAAGTAAAATTTGCCCCATTTTACAATCTTTCTTGCCACAGCTGTTAAGTGAATCATTGAAGCTGTTAAGCTAGTAACACAGCACCACTTGTTAAGTGAATCTGGCTTCCCCATTGACTTTGCTTGTCAGAAGGTCACAAAAGGGGATCACATGACCCTGGGATGCTGCAACCATCATAAATATGAGCTGGTTGCCAAGTGTCTGAATTTTGATCATGTGAACTGTTGTAACTTCAAATGAACTGTCACAATCGAGATCTACCTGTATTGAACATACAAATGAAACCAACTGAAATTCTAATAACTAAAAAGGACATATAAATAATAGGCCAGAAAAATGATTTGGATAACCTTTCTATATTGGATTTTCGAGAGGGGCTTGTTAAAGATCAGAAGACTATTTTGGATAATCTTTTTGTATTGGATTTACAAAAGGGATTTGTTAAGGTTGTCAGTGATTTTGTGAGAAAGACAAAGAGAAAATGAAAAGAACTAAAGATTGTTGGGACATTGGAAGTAATATAAAGTTGGTTTGATCAAGGTTAAAATAAATAGGTTATTTCTGGAAATTTTTAATGGATCCATGAACACCCATTAGCATTAGAAGACAGGATGAAAGCTCCTTAATTTCACATGGACAGACTTAACCATAGTTTCAACTGGGAAACTGTGAGCATCCTAGACCAAGCCAAATCCAAAACTGCTAAAGAGTACTTGGAAGCCTGGCACTCAGACTAATCAATTATTAATAGGCACATAAAGATTAACAGCTTCTACATGACATTGACATGTCACTAGTATATAAACAGAGAGCAAACCTCACTTCCTTGTAGCACTGATTATGTTACCTAGTTGGGTAATGAAATGTCTGCAGGAAAACAATCAAGCTCAGAGAGCATCAAGGACCCCATATTTAAAATGGTTATGTTGATACCTCCAGTAACTTTTATTAGATTTTTACTGATAAATTTGAAAGGTGGTGTTTGAAGGCTTTGTTTAATGATAGAAAATGAGATATAATGTAAAAGGAAGGAATTCAAATGGATTTATTAGATCAAGTTTATAACAAATAAATTTGTGGTAACCCTTCCTGGACTTTTACTGAATAGGATGGAAGGCGAAGTTTTAAAGATACGTTTATAAAGAATTGGGTGAGACACGGAGTGAAAAGACTGTTGTATTTTAAGAGAAGGTAATAAGTTGTTAAAATTGCTTATACTTGCTGGGAAGAAAGGGGAGGTTACATTTTTTTCTTTCTCTTTTTAAACTTTTCTTCTCCATTTTTCTTTTTTCCTGCAATTTTTTTTGTTTATAGTTTGTATTAGTTTTATCTGTATATGTAATGTTCAATAAAATTATTTTTTTAAGAAAAAAGAAATGTTAAAGATGGAACCTGAGCTGTGCATATAATTCATTGATCTTTTATTGAGCTGCACCTTCCTTTTTTTCTCTACAGCTGGGAAATCCCTATCAAGGAATCAGACCAGTAGTTTTACGAACTAAGAAAGTTCTCTCCAAGGGTAGTCTCCATCTGGCAGCTTCCAGGGCAGATTTGCTGCTCCTGCACCTTCTGCCAGCTGGTTAACTAGCTGAATTGGTGTTAAGGTTGTCATGCAAATTCAAAGAGCTGTGTGTGCAAGTAGGTGGATGAACAGCTGCCAATGCGCAGTTCAGTACAATCTGTGTGGGATGCAGCTAAGGAGGAAGTATAGTCATGTGTAATCATTCATGCACCAAGGCGTTAAATTGTGACCTGGGAATGAACATGATTAATGGGGGTGGCTGAATGTCTAGCCCATATAGGCTAGCAAGCGTCTTTCAGACCTGCAAGGGAAAATGCTGACATTTACACTCACATGTAGCTCACAGCATATCACAGTCACATGGCTGGGATGGGCAGCTACAGACATTGAGTAATCAAATAAATAGCAGTATGTGCCATATAGTTGTCATCTCCTAGGCTGTCTCACAGGTTATTGGGCACAAAATATTGGCTTAAGATACAATTGTGATAACTAGTGAATGCATTTACCTTAAGCATTTAAACTGTTCCTTTAAATAATTATAATGTCAAAAACAGATCATGCCAGACAAATCTTATTGCATTCTTTGACCAAGTGACAAAATTAGTGGATCAGAGGAATGCTGTGGATATAATTTACTTGGACTTCAGTAAGACATTTGAAAAAGTAGATCACAACCTACTACTTGATAAGATAGAAAAATGCGGGTTAGACAGCATCACCACCAGATGGATCCGTAGCTGGCTGACCAGCCGTACTCAGCATGTGGTCCTCAATGGAACCGCATCTACATGGAGGGAAGTGTGTAGTGGGGTGCCCCAGGGCTCTGTTCTGGGCCCAGTGCTCTTCAACATCTTCATCAACGATCTGGACGAGGGGATAGATGGGGAACTCATCAAATTTGCAGACGACACCAAGCTGGCAGGAATAGCCAACACTCCAGAAGACAG